CAGTCCAGCCCTTGTTACACTGGCAGGTAGCAGTACCAGGGCCTGTACTGGTACACAGGGCCTATGTGGAAGGCAAAAGAAAGACATTTAACAAAAAAATAAAGCAAATGTAAATAGTACAACTGAATAAGGAAAACTTATTTTGAAGTAGCCTGACAAAATGGATGATGTACATTTGCAACAGTGCCTCCCCCCCACCTTTTGTGGTAGTAGGGCATTTCTACTGCTGGCCTCTTGTAGACCCTAGGGAACACAGACCATTCAAACCTACACAAAGTTTAGATCAAGGCATGCATGAAGACAGAGGTGTGAATTAATTGTCTCTATATAATATAGATCTGACATAAAAACTAGAATGGATTCTATGAGACCTGATTCTGCTTTGTTCCAAAATCTGGAGTCAGAGGCATCCTTTTGCACTAGAGGTGCCAAGCACCTGACCAATGGATCTGACCTGTGGAGGTGGGTACATCTGGCCATAGTGCTTTTGATCACTGCTGTCAGCAATGAGGAGATAATGCCACCACAACTCACACAAGCAGCTCAGGAATTAATGGCACAGTTGCTCAACATTGATCATTGTGGCTTCCAGAGCTGCTGTTTTGTTGCAACCAGAACCTAGGGGGTAAATGCCACCAACGAATTTAGTATTTTCAATTGTTGCTGGCAACTAAAATCAGCAATGGTGAGGGGGATTGAGTGGCAGTGTTATTAGTAATGTGACTGGTGCCTGAACCAACATAGTGGCTCTGGCAGGCATGGATTGAGTGCAGTGGCATTAAGTCCTTGGCTGCTGGTGCTAACCCAATGGCTATGGCACCCACAGTGAGAAGAAGTCCTGTGGGCTGGATTGGAAGTGGGTCATCTGGCTTGCAAGTAGCTTCACCATTCAAATCCAGCCCATCAACACATTGTGTTTGATACCCCTCCTTTATACACAAGTAGTACAGAATTTAACAACAGGAATGAAGCCACTAGCTTTCTACAGAAAGTTGTTGGAAAAGCATATAAAATGCAATAGAGAGTGATACCATCTGTGTAAGTGTTCTGAGCCACCCTAAAGAATTGTATGCCAGGGGCATGATTCTCTCTTGAACTCAATGGGCGCATCCACACATGCAAGCATGTGCGTTTGCAGTAGCTCAAATAGAAGTGGTGCAAATTTGAGCCAGGGCTTTTTGCCTCAGTGCACATCTACAGACATGCACTTTGGTGTGGGGCAAATTGCGCCACTTAGGGCAAAATAACCCTGCCAGGCTCCACCCAGATTTCCAGCCAGGGGGAGCTAGAGCTTGGGGCCAGCACTTGTGCTGGCCCCAGCAGTATAAAAACGTGTCCTGGCCAGCAGCTCAGGGCTACTTGTCCTCAGGAGCTTCTGGGGTCCCAGGAGCCAGTGGGGACCTCAGCTGGTGGCTCCTCCATGAAGCCATCACCATGGGCGTGTATGTGGCAAGCTTCATGGACACCCTGGTCTCCTGCCTCTTCTGTGGGCAGAGGGAGACCCTGGCGCACATGACCCTTGACTGCGCCAGGCTGCAGCCCCTCCACCTCCATATCCACCTCCACCTCCACCTCCAGAACCTTCTCCTGAGGTTCTGGTTGAATTTCACCCCCCACCTTTTTGTTTTCGGTCACCCCATCCATGGCCCCACCAAGTCAACCTCCTGGTCAACCTCCTCCTGGCCCTAGCCAAATGGGTCTGGTAAATGACCAGGAAGGAGACTCTGGCTGGGAAGGTGCCCAGAGACTGTGGGGCTGCTTTTCCTTTCACTCATCTGTGCACGTTTCTGGGGAGAGCACCAGTGGGCAACATCCAGTGGCTCCTTGGATGCTTTTGAGGCCTGATGGGTGCAATTAGTATATGGGGACACTAACCCTTGTGCCAAATGGACTGCTGAAGCAGCAACTCAAATTCACTTTTTAAAATATCCCAAAATCCACATTCTTCCACAAAAGAGAGAGAGAGAAATGGACTGATCAGATGGGCAATGTTTTATTGCTATATTTCCAATGTTAAAGCAGTTTGGAAGCCTACCAGTGTCTCTATCATCATAATAAAATAAATCCTAAACAGCTATATGTTTTAATGTTTGCTTTTGGTTTCCTTATCACATGGTGGGTGTGTGATGGGGGGATGTGGGGTTTGCAGGAGGAAGGTGGAAGGGGGGTGGGGGG